GCTTTTTTTCTTAATTCAGTGGTGTACGATATGAGTTAAGAGTTGACTTTTGTCAAGCCCTTTTAGTAACTTAATCAAGATACATTGTTGTTCGGACAGTAACAATTCGTCCATTTTCAGAAAGATATTTTTGTGGAGATTGTAGTAATTTAATATTTAAACTCATGAGTCGACTAGACCAATATGCAAAACCTGGAAATACTGGAAGGCTGTTTCGTCCTACCATGGCACTCCTCAGCAGTGTGCATCAACGATCCGCACATAGGACTCAAACCTAGAATCTTGGGTCTCGCGCGCAAACGCCTAACCTCTAGACCACTGAGCCAGCACACAAATGTGTTTATGTTTAACTTCAACCCATCCACTATATTGCCCTACTGTCCAACATTGTCTTCAGTGAGTAACTACGTCATAACAGACACGATTGAACTGCACTAGTCACGGCATCTCACAATAATTCCAGCAAATACCTTTTGAAGCCAGTCACTAGTGAACATATGATTATTATTATCAGATTTAGGGATTTTTTCGAGGTTGGAGTAATTTGACAGTTGAATTCATGAGTGAATTAAACCTAGATCACCATGGAAAACCTAGAAGCACAGGGTGGCCTTTTCGTCTATTTTTTTTGTATTATTGCGGTCACTATTATGTCTGTATAAACGTGCGTGCTTGAGCACATGACAGCCTACACATATATCTGTCTCTAGCTTAAATGTTAATCGCTTAAATATCGTTCGATGAATCATTCTCTTACTCATGTATATATGTGCTGGAATCCTATTATTAACTTTTGCCTTGACTCGCTGCTCTTTGATTTTATTTGACTATAAATTCTCCTCTGTATTCGCACATACACACATATTAGCCTATCTGCTCCAATGCTCTCGATGTGCTTGTAACTTTGTTATCTGTACTATCCACTAATAGACTGTAGTAGCCGCTTCTTATCATCTGGATTCAAACACTGTTGGGATTTAAATAACAACGGTTATCAATGTGATTGATTAACGAAGTTAAGCCATTACATTCTCCCCATCTCTTACTTACTTACTTACATCTGTCAACCCCAATGGAGCATAAGCCACTGACCAGCATTCTCCAACCCACTCTGTCATGGGCCTTCCTTTCTAGTTCCATCCATTTTTTGTTCATTGTTCTCATGTCTGTCTCCATTTCTCGTCGAAATGTGTTCTTTGGTCGTCCTCTTCGCCTTTGGACTTCAGGATTCCATGTGAGGGCTTGTCTTGTGACGTAGTTAGGTGATTTCCCCAATGTGTGTTCTATCCACTTTCAGCTCTTCTTCCAAATTTTTTCCTCCGTTGGATGAAATCTGGTTTGTTGTCTCACACAGTGGGTTGTTGCTGATAGTGTCCGGCCAACAGATTCGAAGTATTTTGAGTAAAAAAACTATGAAAAAACATCTGTATCTTCTGGATGATGGCTTTCGTGAATCTCCACGTCTCCGCCTCAAACAGTAGAACTGTCTTGACATTTGTATTGAAAATTCTGATCTTGGTGTTGGTTGACAATTGTTTTGAGTTTCAGATGTTCTTCAGTTGTAAATATGTTGCTCTTGCTTTGCCGATCCTCTCCCTCACATCTGCATCTGATCCACCATGTTCATCAATGATACTGCCCAGATATGTAAAGGTTTTCACATTCTCCAAAGCTTCTCCGTCAAGTTTAATTCGATTAGCGCATGTTGTACTGTATCGGAGAATCTTACTTCCCCTTTGTGTATATTGATACCTAATGCTGATGAAACTGCTGCTACACTGGTCGTTTTCTCCTGCATTTGTTGTTGCGTGTGTGATAGAAAAGCTAGATCATCTGCGAAGTCATCCTAGCTGTCCACTGTATCATATACTGTTGATGTTGATATCTTCATGATCCAGTCGATCACCAGGAGAAAGAGAAAGTGTGAGAGCTCCTTATCTCAGGACTAATGTTTATAGTGTCTTGAATATAATACATACTGTATAATATTTAGATACTTTAAAATCATTCAACCTGTTATATGAACATATAATCTGTTAGTCGTTTGAAATGAAATTAGTTAAGAGTTTATTTACATTTATAATTATCCAGAAAACGCCTATTTTGTATATTTTAATTTCAGAATTTACCAACATTTAAACTTAACTAACTAATCTCTTTTATTTGAAATGAATTAATATTCGAAAATTATAAGTAGTATATAACATTTATCTTTTCAATGTATTCACTAACTAAACTAATTAATGAATAAATAATAATTAAAAACGTCTTACAATTTAAGCTTTCAATTATAATTTTAATATAATTAGAAAATTAATAAAATGACATAATTTTAAAATATCCGCCTAAATTCAAATTTATGTCAGTCATGTATTAAAACAAAAACAAACAAAAAGTAATTACATTATTTATTGTACAGTGGTATTACAATTATGTAAATAAAGACTTTATTTGGTTGCTATCATATTTATGTCGTTAGTAATATGGTATGTATGATTAATTTTATATTTAATTCTAATTGACTGGTATTATTAAAATAGAATAAATAAGTATAAATATGTATATATATATATCTGGTATGATTGATGAATAAAGAAGACTGATTATATCTATGCATGTTGTGGTATAACATACAGTTACAAAATAGTTTGTCTATTATTGTACTAATATTATATAGATTTCATTGTTTAATATGTTTTCCACTATTTGATACTGAATGTGGTTCTACACCATTTATATTCAATCCTAATGGAAATATTTATTCACATAAAGGTTATGAAAAACAATTGGCATATGATGGATTAATTCAATGTTTTTGGTTAATTCATGTTAATCCACAAGATCGTATTATTGTTCAATCAGTTGATTTTGATCTACCTGGTGATTCAATTCAATGTGATGAAGATAGTTTAATTATTTATGAACCAGAAGATTATCAAGTTGAAAATATAACATCTTCAGAAATTGACACATTCACGAAACAAATTGGTAAATATCCATATTGTGGATCAACAAGTTTTAGAGTATTATCTAGTTCTAATCAGTTATTGTTAATATTTAAGGCTCGATCAACTGGAAAACACAATGGTTTTAATTTACGTTATTCAGCTATAAACACTAACTTGGCAAAGATAGTAGAATCTTCATCACAGTTGTTTACAGTGAACAGGACATGTGACTCATCATTCGAATGGAAATGTCCAACATCTCAGTGTATATTGAAAATATGGAGATGTGATGGATTTTCTGATTGCTCAGGTTCGGAAGATGAAATAAACTGTTTGAGTCCACTTTCAAAAATATCTCGTTTTCATAGTAGACAAAAGCGGTCAGTTTATGATAACGAAGAAAACTGGGGCCGTGTGGTCAATGGCCAACCGGCTCCAAAAGGTGCTTGGGCTTTTATAGTTTCTTTACGTTTCTCCGGAAATGGAGGACATATTTGTGCAGGCAGCCTAATCAGTGCACAATGGGTAATGACAGCTGCACACTGTGTTCAACCAATGCCAGATCCAAAACGTTGGTTTGTAGACGTTGGAAGATATTATAGAGACTTTGGTGGTCCTGAAGTTCAAAGAATAAAACTTTCACAAATTGTTATACACCCGTCTTACAATAAAAAAATTTACGCTAATGACATAGCACTGTTACGTCTGCAAACTCCAGCTAGTTTGGATAATCGTCAGGTACGACTTTCTCCAGTTCCACGTAATTCTCATTTATCCGATTTATTAACAGATAATGTTCAGTGCATGGTCGCTGGTTGGGGAGATACACATAATACAGGTTCAAATGATGTTCTAAGACAAGCAGTTCTTCCTGTCATTAATTATGATCTTTGCAAATCATGGTATCAATATCTTAATAAAGCAAGCTTTTGTGCTGGATACAAACAAGGAGGAGTTGATGCTTGCCAAGGTGATAGTGGGGGTCCTCTATTGTGTTACGTTGGGGGTCAAACAGTTCAAGCTGGAATTGTGTCATGGGGCAACGATTGTGCAAAACCAAGAAATCCAGGAGTTTATACTAATGTGGCTATGTTTTCTGACTGGTATTCAAGTGTTTTGTAAACTTCTTTTTTCATGGAAGCATTTAGCAATTTTATTAATAAAATTTTTATATACTAGAATATATACTTATTTATAAGCTTGAACTATGCGTATTTTATAAAAATCTCAACTCGCATAGTAGTTCCCAAGATACGTTTTAATATCACAAAATAACCAGTCTATCGTTAAGGTAACTTTAAATAGGGTTTGAATCAATGAGAAGTTGTCTGGTTTTCCATAAGTTTACAAATTTATAAATAATAATAAGTAATTTTCTGATAATCAGTCCAACTTACGAAATTTTCTGTTTCTTTTATTGTAAATGCTAAACGTTGTGATTACGTAACCGTGACATTTACCCATATGATTATTCGAAAGTATCCACAAAACATTAAAAGCTAAAGTCTGTAGTTAAAATTACCTGATATTCCTATAAAATTGTATAGTTATCAATCAGACTCAAGTTTTATTGTGTTGATAGTCTGTACTAATAAACGTTTATCGAATTATTGATGAATAATACCCACTGTAATGAACTTAAGATTCGTTCCTGTACTCACTCAAGTCCGAAATTCTATATTGAAATGCTACAGAATCATAATGATTTAGTAAACAAAATCTAGTCTAATATAAATGAAGTGGAATGTCATATATCTCGAATTAATCTATACAGTACAGATTGTTTAAGGGAATTCTCGTCTGTACAGTTTACAATAAATAAGTACTTAAAAATATACAAATCAAATATCCTATTCAAATTATATTAGGCAATTGTGAAAATCTTATTGGTTGTTTATCAACCAATGAATTAATTATAACTTGTTAATTTGTCTAAATTCAATTGAATATTGAAATAGTAGTCGTTATGATTGTCTTATTTTATGGAAAAAAAAAATTAAAATATTCCCTTGGATACAATTATACTATTAATATATGGAAGTATTTCATTATGCAATCATGCTTATGCTGCTACTAATTATTCTGTAAAATAAAGGACAAAGCAAAACATTCTAAAATGCGATAAAATCAGACGAGTTTTGTGGAATATGATTACGTAATGATATTATTGTTTTTAATTGTGATTGTTAATATGATATTTACTATTAAAAGTAATAAACTTTCTGATCCAAGTAAGTTTATGCAAACATGTAAAAATGTTTAATATTCAACACGATGCATTATTATTATGTTGATTTAGTAAAGCTTGACTATCTTACTGACCATAGACCTTGTTAAACTTCCGGGCTGCTTAGTTTTCAACAACAAGAAAGTTTTCTAGATAAAGATATATAGTGGCTGGTAGCAGAATCCAGGGCACGCTTTTCATCTCATTCGGGACTCATCAGCGCGATGTACCTACATCCCAGAATCGGTGTTCACTCCAGAACTCAAACCTAGTAACGTTCACTTCAAACGCTATCACGTTATTCACTTAGCTACTGAGTCCTGATAAACACTAGCTTATGCAATGGAGTGGAGTTTTAATACACTTTTGTATTGTTTGTTTGAATCTTCCCACTGATGTTTAGGACGACATTTGATTTTGATTGTGAATTTATATCCATAAGAGATTGATTAGTTGCAGTCTTAAACATCAATGGGAAGATTCGAACAAACAATAGAATAATAAAAAAAGTTTTCTTTTTAAAATTTGTTCCAGTTTACTTTAGACATTTGATTATGACGTTAATATATACATAAGTTTTTATGACAAGCTTATAATCTATTGGGATGCCAATTACTGAAAAAACCAAGTGCACAGTGCATAATAATTAGTGTATCTTATTCCGTACCGGTTTATTGGGGAGACTAAAAGTCATCAGATTGTAATTCATACCTGAAGAAATATGGGATGCAAAACTAGTCAAAAAAAATCTAGAAATGTATGGTAGTTTAGAAATTTGTTGTTACTGCTTCTAAGCATGCTAAATAAATGTTGAAGTGGAATGTATTATAAGATTTTCTATTTATTCCTGTAAACGCCTTGTAATCAAATGCATACTTGAAACTATTAAACATAAGAGGAGATATTCATTTAGTATAGTTTGTTTGAATCTTCACCCCATCGCACAAGCAAATGGCTATCAGGACTCAGTGGCCGAGTGGATAACGCGATCGCGTTTGAAGCGAGGGTACTGGGTTCGAGTCTCAGAGTGAACATCAATTCTGAGATGCAGGTGCTTCCACCTGACGAGTCCCAAATAGGACGAAACGCGCTTCCTGGATTCCACTGCTAGCCACTATCTATCTCTGCTTACCATAAAAGAGAATAGTTAGCAAATTACAGAAAAATGTTTTCAATCACCTGAAAGTTATTCATCTATTTGGAATTAATGTGAATTATCTGACAAGTATAGATCTATGTAACTTGATTTGATCTACACTGTTTGTTTGAGACCTAGAAACTAATAAAACTGGGATTTAAGGTTTGAACCAACTGGTTAACAGTCAAGTTTTATAATAACTAAACCAACAATCTACAACTTGCATCTTTTATGCCATATAACCAAATAAGTCTTTGTTTGAGCCTCTTTAAATATTTTGTCTTAGAAATAAACTGCAAATATTGAAAGTATGTTTTTGTCTTCTGTGTTATAACGGGGTATACATAAATTTATCAGTTGGGTGCTTGATGAATGAAAAATTAGTGAAACACAATTAAGCCATCAATTAAATCCACATTTCGATTGTCTGTACCTGTGATATTAAGAAACACAATGTCGTTTGTTATTGTTGATACGTCCCTAGATATTTGATCGCTCTGTCATTACAGTAGATTAATAAATTAAATGCAATCATCCCTGTAAGTTCAATTAAAACCCAAATGGCTCGGTAGAAACGCCTATAGCTGAGACACTGGGTGTTTTTAATTTGTATTCTACAGAAAGCATTTGTTCCCTCCGGACTGCAGATACTCCTTGATGATGAGTATAAAATAACACGAGACTTAGGTTCTGCACTTCCTTCTGATGACCTCCAGTTGCATAACTACATACTACTTAGTATCATATCACAGTGACAATAGATGAGGTCGTTTGTTACTTATCCTTTTTCATAACTACTCACATCTATATTCCTATTGATTTTTTAGTTGCATTTCTTTTTTGAATAGAACAAATTTCTCTGATGAATTCATCTCAAAGCGATATCCAATATTGAACGCTTACTTTAGGATACGTTTCCCGGGAAGCATTAGGTGTAGTATCCACGAAACCGTCTATTCAATAATCATTATTAGACCGTTACAAGTTCACGTGATTGAGACTACTAGTAACTTAGTATCAACAGTTTACTACAAGAAAAGACATTTTGTTGAAAACCGATAATTTGCTATTTCCAATTCTTGCTTCAAAAATTCAGTTTTTTGTTAAGAAAAACGTAGGATGATTAATTACTCGAAGTGTATTTTTTATCAAAGATATAAGGCATTCACTTTCGGAAAATTGATCATTGTGATATAGATGATAAACTATATTTTTAGTCGCTTGAACAGTATGGTGTTGAATTATAATTAATATATCAACCATATTATGAATTCATAATTCCATACTTACTCCATATAAGAGATATTTCAAAAGGAAGCTAAATGATTATTTTATTTCATTTTAGTCACATCTCTTAGTCATTATTTGCGATAGGGTTTTAGCATGATAATTAAATCATTTGAATTACTCTGAACAGTTTATACCAAAGGTATGGGTGAGATGAAAAGGCAGGAATATATTAGTGCACTATCAAGTTGTATAGGTTTTATTGTTTATAAGGATACTAATCTGTTAGTGGTGTTATCTTCTTTGAACTAGACCGATTGACCATAAATTTCCCTTACCGTTTTGAACTATAGCATCAACCCTACACTTCATTTACAAGTGAAGTGTTTGCTATATTTTAGCACACAAATATTTTTTTCAGATAGTACAAAATCATTTCATACATAAGTACAGAGAAAAAAATTACGAAGAGTAATATTCAATCTGAACGATTACTACCGCAGTATACATCAAATAGGTGCGATCTATGGTTACCAGTTAGTTTACAATGCGATTTCCAGTAACTAGGACATTTAAATTACATGTAAAATTAATAATTAAGGTGACTAGCGACTTATCAATAAACACAATAATCTAAATGGTTGAGATCATGAATCACATGAAGGTAGACCACCATAGAAAAGCCTGGAAGCACTGGACGGCCGTTTCATACTATTGTGGGACTTCTCAACAGTGTGCATCCGTGATCCCAGCTCGCGAGATTCAAACCCAGGACTAGTGACTGGCTCCAAGAGGTATTTCACGGAGTTCTAGTGAGAAGCAGTAACCAGTGGAGTTCAATCAGGTCTGTTGTGAGAGAGTAAGTCACTGAAGACAATAGTGGATGTGTCGCTCAATTTTGTGGATCGGTTGAAGTTAGAAATTAACATTGTTGGATGCCGGCTGAGTGGTCTAGTGGTTAAGCGCTCGCGTGCAAAACTGATAGGTCCTGGGTTCGAATCTCGCGAGGCGGGGTGGTGGATGCGCACTGCTGAGGAGTCCTACAATAGGACGAAATGGCCTTCCAGTGATTCTAGGTTTTGCATGGCGGTCTAGTTTCAAGTGATTCGTGATCTCAACTATTAAAATTACCATAATATCCACAAAACCCCTTCTCAAACACAATAATCATTTGGTGTTCAAACTATACAAATGAAACAATTGTTGTCATTCAACCAGTCCATGTAAATATGTATTTATGTTTAACATAGAATCCTGATAAATAAATAAATATATATAACACCCAAACCTTATCAAATGTTTCTGACAGATTTGCTACTTAAAAAACCCTTTAAGGAGGTGATTTTTTCTACCAATTTAGTAGAATTGTAAACATGAAATCGACTTCTGTTGGGAGATAATTTTTATTTTGTTGATTTAATCACATGAGATATTCGTGTGGAAAATAATAAGTTTTGTACAGAATCTAATTGCCCTAATTACGTTTTGTTTACTTTTCGGGTTTACACAAAAAAATTGTCCCATTATCTTATGTTTTAAAAACTGCACTTCTTAAACTTGTATTTCATACTAGAGACCTAATTAAGATTACCGATGTAATGAGCGATAACCACGTGGTGATCAATGCAGTATTTGTGTGGCTGAAACTACTAATATAATCATGTGGATCGATCCTGATGAGCTTGCTAGTTCATTTTACTCGAGGTCAAGAATTATTAATGAAAGACAGGCAGTTGGAGATGGTTGATAGGATTTTCCACTTCTTTTTACAGCATATCTCGAAACTTAGAGAGCCTAGAGATTCCATGAAATTTTACCTCATAACCCCTAATTTCATAATCAGAAACGTCACCATCAAATATCCCCGAGTACCATTGATTGAAATACTTAGTGAAATGGCTCAAATTCCAAGGAGACTGCAAACTCCTTAAGTTTGTCGATATCACTAAATGAAAACTCCCAACTCACACGTAACTAATGTTTATACCATCATTCTGGTAGCCTTTAACTGTCACTTACTTACTCACTTAAGCCTGTTACTCCCAATGGAGCATAAGCCACTGACCAGCATTCTTCAACCCACTCTGTCATGGGCCTTCCTTTCTAGTTCCATCCATTTTTTGTTCATTGTTCTCATGTGTGTCTCCATTTCTCGTCGAAATGTGTTCTTTGGTCATCCTCTTCGCCTTTGGACTTCAGGATTCCATGTGAGGGCTTGTCTTGTGACGTAGTTAGGTGATTTCCCCAATGTGTGTCCTATCCACTTTCAGCTCTTATTCCTAATTTTTTCCTCCGTTGGATGAAATCTGGTTTGTTGTCTCCCACAGTGGGTTGTTGCTGATAGTGTCCGGCCAACAGATTCGAAGTATTTTGAGTAAAAAACTATGAATAAACACCTGTATCTTCTGGATGATGGCTTTCGTGAATCTCCACGTCTCCGCCTCAAACAGTAGAACTGTCTTGACATTTGTATTGAAAATTCTGATCTTGGTGTTGGTTGACAATTGTTTTGAGTTTCAGATGTTCTTCAGTTGTAAATATGCTGCTCTTGCTTTGTCGATCCTCTCCCTCACATCTGCATCTGATCCACCATGTTCATCAATGATGCTGATAGGTAACGGTTTCCCTTTAACTGTCAAATAGCCATTATAAGTAATCCGTCCAAGGGTGTGTGACTGTAATTGTCGTTTTTATTCTATTTCCATAGTTCAAAAGTAGCATTCGAGTTCAGCGTTTTCTTTTGAAACAAAAGTGACATTTAATATATAATTAAGTCACTTTTCCTTGCAGTTACTTTGGTTAACTGAGTATTTCTAGTGATTTGTACTTAGTTAGTGAGATGTTTTTGCGAGAAATACATTAGTAGCTTAAAAATACTGTAATAAATATATACAGTTCTAGAACTTACTCATTTTTAGATAATAGATAGGTTTGTAGACGATTTCCATCCCAAACTAATATTATTTAGAAATTACCAATAGTTACTGAATGGATATTCCATCTGAGTTTAATAATACTCAGTAATGAATATCTACGACCTACTATGTGATCAACTAAAAGATTGTACAGACTTCAGTACAAACCATGAAAATTATTTCATAAATGATTTATATAAAATAAAATGTACTAGAAACTTGTCAGATGAATATTGTATACTTTAAAATGTTAAACTAATTCTTATTCATGAACTTGAACGATCTGGCATCATCTTCTAAATTCAAACAACTGAATCTATAATTCAAATATATATCTACTATGCTTTAAGTACCCAAATAGTGTTATTAGTTTAGAGCTTTTCCTGTGTTGATTGACCTACAATTATTTGCATAATTCTCCTCCTTTAAGTTCCATAAAAGCATAGATTTTGTAAAATTTTAAATAACACAAAAATATAAAGGTTTACAGAATAAAATGAATTCATCTTACATTTCATGTCTTCCCATAAGTTGAAAGAGCCTAAACTTACAAAGAGTAATACAATTATCGGCAAAGGTCTAATATACTTTAATCACTGACAATTTGACAAATGTTTAAGGCGGAAATATAATTTATGGACGAACCAATCAGATATAAGATAATGAGTTTTGGATTTTGACGCTCAGTTCATTCATGCATTTGGCTATATGGCGTTTTAGCATTATAGCTGCTGTCAGTTCGTGATGAAAAACATAAATCTGATTTCTAACCCTAACCATCAACAGTAAATCATAATTCTAATTCCTCAAACTGGTTTATAACCCTCTTTTATTCCTAGTTAGTAGATGGACATTCTCAAGGTCACCGTAGCGTCACTTAAAGGTTGTCCATAAATTACAGTTTCACCATGTTCAAATCAGATTCTCAAGATCATAAGAGTGAGAACAGGATACACACAAATAGATTCATCAAAATTGAAACTGATGTATATTTAAATGTTGAAAATGATAATAATTATAACGCAGAGTAAAAGAGATGGCGTAACACTTAGTTGTAAAAAAATCTAGGAGAGAAGAATTTTTTTAATGGTTACATTGAAGTCAATCTATTCAAGTTTGACCTACTTGTTGTATTGAACTACTGACTAGAACTTATGTTTTTTATACTTTAAATTAAGAATACACACTAATTAGACCACATTTGGTCTTATCACTACTTGTACACCTATCTTCTCATTATGTCTATGCTTCTGACAAATATTACATATTATCAGACTGAGTGTTTTTGTGGATACTGTAGTAATTTAGTGGTTGAATTCATGAGCCAATTAAAGCTAGACCAACATAGAAAACCTGTAAACACTGAAAGGGCGTCTCATCCTAGTATAGGACTCGTCGGCAGTGCTCATCTACGACCCCACACGTGGGACTCAAACCCAGGACCTTCAGTCTCGCATGAGAACACTTTTAGACTTTAGAACTTTTAGGCCATTGAACCGATGCACTGTTAAAAAGTCTCATACTAAAACGAAACGGCCGTCCATTGTTTCCAGGTTTTCATTGGTGGTCTAGCTGAGATCAACTCGTCAATTCAACTGTGAAAATACTATAATCTCCAAAACTCATCATACTGATAAAAAAAAGACAACCACTTACATAGTACAGCTGCAAACACTTATCTGACAGTGGCCAATTAACTAATTTATTTTAAAAAAAGAAGAGAACTGAAATTCAATTTTTAATATTATGATTATCTCTGTGTTCTTTGTATGGAGAAATCCTTTATATTACTAAGTCGATTTAATACAGTGAATCATGTTATGTTTAATTACATTGTATATGGACCTGTTAGTGAAATAATTATCTTACGTTTAGGATATAAGAAATTTGTTGCCATGGAATTAATTTGTTTCTAATAGGGTGAGAGACGATTTATTTTACATGTACGATATATATATATAACCAATCGATGAGTTTTGTGTGTACCTACCAATCATTCGATATCTTTAAGAGTTATATGTATTAGCACATATGATTTACATTAAATTTCAGTCAAACTATAGCCTCACATAAGGATTCGCCAAGATCAACGCTAGAGACCTCATAAAATATGGGCACTAACTATCCGAAACATAGATGATATTAAATTATGTTTATGAACATTCCAACCATTGAAATTTAACTTATCTTTACCTACTCTTAACATTCTTTTTATTATTCTATTCAGAACGTTATCATAGATACTATGCAAAACAAAATAAAAACAAATATATAAACAAGGAATATTTTTTAAATTATAAATTCACTACTGGTTCTAAACAGTTGTAAATTCAAATTACTGAACCCAAAGACTGACCGAATTTAAGATAAATAGACTTTTAAAAACTAAAGTATACGTGCATTTTGGATTGTTTGTATTGAAATGACTAGTATACAATATTAACTTAGATAAGTTTATACTTTCTCTGAAATTTTAAGAATAATTATCAAAATAAATGATCTCGATTTCTAGCCACGGGGTCATGGATGCGCACTCCTTAAGAGTCCAATACCAGAACGAAAGAGATGTTCAACGCCCCCTTTCAATAATTGTCTAGCTAAGATCAGATCCTGATATAGACCGTACATATCAAAAGAATGTTTCACAATTTCGACTTTTAAAAAGATATATTTTAATTATGAATATTTCAAAAACCAAGTCAATCAGTCAGTTAAAACCTAGGACCAGTCACACATATGCATCGGTCTAAGTTGCCATATCTCGTTAGCAAACCAAGATGAACACCGGATTCATAGAAGTAATTAATTTAGTGGTGATAGTATATAAAGAAAGGTTGTATATAAGAATATAGTACAGGAAGGAAGAGAAGATAATGAGTGTATACACCTACGCCATTGTGATTAATTCTGAGCCATGTCACACAGAGTCTCCAACCATTGGTTACGATAGTCACGCGGACCCCAACCAAGTAGTCTGCATCTACCAACATGACTCAGACTAAAAGGTCTTGACTTCATGCTCCGATACAATGTTTTGGTTTGGCCCCCTAACTCTCTTCCAACCATCCCCAATACTAGTCATCATAGCGCGTCGTGGTAATCGGTGTTCAGGCATATGTAACGCATGGCCCAACCATCTCAGTCGGTGAAGATTCATGACCTCATCAACTGATTTACCATCGTTCCCTAATACGCTACGTCTAACCTCACTATTTCTTACCCGGTGATCCCAGCAGATGCGAGCAATATTTCTAGGGTATCTGTGATCAAATACTAGTAACCTACGAGTATTTTCTACTCTTAATGGCCATGTTTCACAGCCGTAAATTAGAACATAACGAATCGCTGTGCAGTATACTTGTCCCTTAATTGATAGACGGATATCTCGTCTTCGCCATAGGTGACGTAAATTGGCAAAAGTCAAACGAGCTTTTTGAATCCGTGCTAAGATTTCGTCAAACACCAACTCATTAGGGCTGATCAGACTTTCAAGTTGTCGTTAAAAAAAAAACAATGATCAATAGAAATGAATCTATGGTCATGTGTTTTACTCAAATGAGCATGTATATATATGTATATCTGCTTGCTTCTTTTCCTAGAATAAAAAACTCTTCATAGTTTATAGCTTAATTCTTTTAAAATAAAATAGATTTAATTAATTAAAATGAAAAGTTAAAAGAAAGTTGCATTCTATGTCCAATTCATTGAATAATTATTGTATATAAATCATTCTGATGAAAATTTTGAAAAGAAAAAAAAATACTAAAGTGAATAGAGAAAATGAAAAGAAAAGAAAAGAAATTTCTTTCCTTTCGGATATATGGTAATTGTAATGATATACAAACATTGAATTCTTATAAGCTTGCTTCACCAAACATCTAGATTGTAATTTGAATTCAGTGGAATTATTCTTTCTTTGAAAAAAACAAACAAACAGATTCGATGGATAAATGAATACAATAAATTTAATTGATTCTATCTTTTGTAATAACGAAACTATGGATTATATTAATCAAGTAGACACGATCATGTTTGTTGAATACAATGAATGTATTGAGAGTATATCTATGGTATTTTATTTTTAAAAAATTTCCTTTTTGGTAATATACCTTATGATTTCAAAGATTCAGAGCTTGATCGTTTAAGATAGCTTACTTTTATCACACTTAGTAAAGGCTGTTAACCTGTACGGAACAATAGGTTTTTGTTCTTATGAAGTCTATTACCAAAACATGAAATTAAATATTCAATTTTGACAATAATAAGTATGTAATTTGATTAAACCATTCGTTTATATTCATTTTTATTGGTTATTTATATCTTCCCATTGATGTTTACAACTTCAGTTGATTAGTCTCTTTTCGACATATGTACATCACATACAGATTGCCTCAATGTTTCCTTAGATCATATGCATTATAATGCATTACAATTCAGCTGATGATTTCAAAACGGAACGAAACGCATGTTCTAGATTCCTTTCCTAGACATCATCCACATCTGCTCATAATTCAATTCTATGTAGTTGTATAGGTGAAAGGAATGAAATGAAGCAAAATAATCGTACTTGTTAACCAATTACACAAATACTTTTGAAATTTGTGAAACGAAGCCAACTGTATGATGTATGTTATATTTTATACATTATTTTATAAACTAGTCTCTTTTGAAATAATCATGTAGGTATTCATGTTGATTGGTCTTGGTAACATTTGACAAATAACGTACGGTTATAAACAAACTGAGTAAAAACTAAATTAACTACCTTTTACTTAGAACTTTAATTCTTTTCAGAAAAATGTAGATGCACATATAACTGAGATGAAGAATTTTTTAAGCTCATTAAGATAAAGATGTGACATTCTTTGAGATGGAAAACTGTTTATGAATTTACTACTATCACTTCAGACAATATTATCTGGATATAATTCAAAGCATGGAATAGGAATAATATATTTGTAAAATCTCAGCGAATGAATTTTGAAGTAAATCCAATGTGTTCGCCTGGCGATCTGGTTCAAGCTTTTTCAATAAAATTAGCTGTGCCATGGCAGCTAATCTTTGATAAGTTAAAACATGAACTCCTTTCCGTTTTATCTATCTCGTATTATCTAAGTGACAACGATTACATTCAATGATTCTAATCAGTTGTCTTATCGGAATTCGTTAAACGATTAATTAGAACATTAAAATCACACATATATTCAGTTTCAAATTACATTCCTCCGGTTCGAATTTCACTCTTTTATTTTGTTTATTTATCTTCATTGTATACATGCTGTGATATATATGATTCATATCAGATATTACAAGTTGTATGTTTTCTTAAAAATTCACCGACAGGAGAAAATATAACGTGAATGAAATTTCTCCTCTCACCACTGACGTTTCTATACAATATATTATCTTAATACTTATCATTTCACATCAGAAGTCTCTTACACACTAATACATATACCTAGTTTAAACATTTTTAACGTTGATTAGATGACCTTTTCAGTGTACACTGAACCGAAGAACCATGTACCTATTTTGATATAATTTTGATGTTTGATTATAATTCCTTGAAAAGGCTTGAACCAGATTGCCAGGCGAAACGTTGGATTTAATTAAAAATTCATTCGCTGAGATTTTATAAATATATATTATTCCTATTTAATGTCTTACATCAACTCGGCGCTCAAATACCGTGAAACTATTCGCTCTAATTTAGACGAAAGTTCTTATATAATTCAAAACAGTCTTTTAATTATATTACTTAATAAAAACTAAACGGTTATAATTTAAACTACATAACTTAGAGAATATAATCCCTCCAAAATGTTAATAGCATTCCATATATAACACTAAAATGTCATATAGAAGTGTGCTTTCAATATCCCAATACGTAAAAAGTTAGATTGCGACAAATCTACCATTATTTTTATTATTAACGGTCTATCCAATGATCAACTTATGTGAAAACATCATGTCAAGCCATTATAATGATACTTATTATCCATACGACACTATTCTTTTTTCTCTCAGATTGTGACTCAAAAATGTAAGTTACATGATATATTAACGACTGATCGACGATAATTGTTGAGAGCCAGAGATGAAATGTGTAAAGTTCATAAAAGTTAGAATCTACCTGATTATTATTCTCGTTATCTTTGTTTCTACGATATTTTTACCATATTCCATGTTTGAATAGTCTCATAATATTACCTATTGTCGTAGATAGTGTGTTCGGTAAGTTACATGTAAATCTTCTTTACCGAATTGGGTTCACTTTGTCATCAAATAACTGAAACAATAAATCTCAACATGTTATTAGATGTTATGGAAAATGAACGATTCGCTTAATTTGGTTTTACATGAAATAATGATCAGTAAATTGTTTCACAGAAAAATTATAACATAAGAATGAATGGAAGATTTTATGATTTACAAACACACACCCCTTGAGAAGATACAGATACTTCAGTTATCAGGCATCAATGTATGAGTAAATATGTAAAAAGAAAATATAAATAACTGATAGTTGAATGGGTGCACAAATCCATGCAGTCAGTGACAAGTTCATTGAGTCATGTTGGTAGGTGTAGACTACCTGGTTGGGATCCGCGAGATGATAACAACCGATGGTTAGAGACCTTGAATGACATGGCTCAAAATCGTTTGCAATGGCGAAGGTGCATCCACTCTTTGTGTTCTCTCAAATTCTAATCTTCTGAATTCTTCATGTCCCTATCCTTTTTCTCTTTCCAAATTTATTTCACTGTATTTCACTCCTTTAATAACACCTTCCAACCCTAATTTTTCACATTACTGCTTATACTCTTACTACTTCTACCACTATGGGATTTGAATCGACAACAGCATATCTATGCTAATGTAGTATAGCAGCTCGAACTGTTGTGCGTACGTACGAAGTTCTACGTTGTGACTGACTGATTGACTAGTTTAACGGGTACGACAGTTTTTTTCTAAAGTTTTTTTTAAAACAAATTCTATTCAAAAGAAACAACTACTTACTACTTCAATCTATAATAACAATAAAATTTGTTTCCTTATTTTAGATTGTCGATGTTTTGTATTTGATAGTACAATGTACAAATCTGGCATTTTTAAAACACCAAATTATCCAAAAAATTATCAATATGAATTAAATTGTTTATTATATTATTTTCATGGTCTATCTACTGAATTGGTTAAAATTACATTTACAACATTCAATTTAAGGAAACCTATTGAGAAAAAGTAAGTTAGAAGTTGTTGTTGTTTATTCAATAAATTAAACTAACTAAACATTTTAATGCGTAAGCAAAGATGGATAGTAGCTAGCAGTGGAATCCAGGACTATTTGGGACTCGTCAGCTGGACGTACCTGCATCTCAGAGTTGATGTTCAATCTGGGACTCGAACCCATCACCTTTCGCTCCAAAAGCTCTATCACGTTATCCGCTCAGCTACTAAGTGATTTCAAACTTCACCCCATCGCACAAGCAAGTGTCTATTAGGAATCAGTAGCTGAGCGGATAACGCCATACCGTTTGGAGCGAAAGGTTCTGAGTTCGAGTCTCAGAGTGAACATCAACCCTGAGATGCAGGTACATCCAGCTGACGAGTCTCAAATAGGACGAAACGCGCGTCCTGGATTTCACTGCTAGCCGCTATCCATCTTTGCTTACAATGCTTGTGAAATAAGGCTATATCGAGGCAATCCTCACAGTATGCACATATGTCAATAAGAGACTGACCAGTTGCAGTCTTAAACATCAATGGTAAGACTCAAATAAACAATACTAAGTGAATTTTAATGTGTAGTTTAGTAGATGGAAAAAAACGGATATAGTCTTATTAACTTGCAATTATAAAAAATATATGAGTACTGATGGTTAAGATTTACCGTTGGCCGACTCCGCTGCTGATTACACAAGCTTCCTATAATCAAAGTCAATGAACTTCTAGATTGTGAAAACCTAGTGTTAGTCGGGGACGCTATATTGGCAATCAATGAAATATGTTTATTTCCTTAGAAAGTGGAATCAAATATTGATCAATAGAGTGTCCGCGTCCGTTTAGTTCTATTGTGGAACTCCTCAACAGTGCTCATCCATGATCCCACCTCGCGCGATTCGAACCCAAGACCTATCGGTCTCGTGAGCAAACACTCAACCTCTAGACCACTGAGCAGGCACCCAATGTCTAATGTCTAACTTCAACCAATCTACGAAATTGGGTGACACATCCATCAATGTCTTCAGTGGATTACTATCTCACAACTGACATGGTTGAACTCTACTGGTCACTACTTTTCACTAGAACTCCAAGAAATACCATTTAAACCAATGATTCCAGGTTTTCCATGGTTGTCTAGCTTCAATTGAATCATGATCTCAACTATTAAAAATTACTATAATATCCACAAAACCCCTTCTGATAGTAATAAAGATTATTTGATGAATAATATTTCTACCTACCTACCCATCTATCTATCTATCTCTATTCTCTTTATGTCCTTTTTTGTTACTTTTATCCAGATGTATAGATTACTTAGATATGTTTACTACAATAGAATCCAATGATCAACAAATTACAAATAATGAAATGATGAAAATACCTTCAAAATTTGGTCAAACATTTTATAATTTATCAACCAATTCTTCTAGACCAGCTGATTATAGATTATGTGGGGATTTAAATGATTTTCCACAAAATAATTTTTATTCAATTAGTTCTATATTACTATTAATATTTCATACAGCTTCTAAAATTCCTGGTATAAAACATAATCAACAAATGGGATTTATTGGTCAATTTACATTTGATTTAAAAAGTATGTTTTGTAAAGTATTATTTTTGTCTTTTTATATAGTTGAGATCATGAGTCAATTGAAGTTAGAGCACTATGGAAAACCTGAAAGTAATGAACGGTCGTTTCGTCTTATTGTGGGACTCCTTAGCAGTGCGTATCCACTATTTTTGTCTAATAACAAATAGTTTGTTAAAGAACATTTTTAAATATTAGATATAAGTTGTAAAACATTTGAAGGGTTTGTGGCAATGTTCATTTGTACAAACATGCTAAAAAAAATTAAGTGAACTTGTGATGTATTCCACTTATGTCTATATAAGTAGAATATAACACCAATCAGAAGTGGAATACATGAAGCAAAAGATTGGGAAGGTCAAATCGAAGAGAACTGGGACAGAGAGTAATTGTTATGGCGATAAAAGAGCGATAAAGTTTGAGACAAATGATGGAGGATTTACAAGTGGAGTACTGATCAATTTGTTTTCAGATTTTACTGAAGAACTCTGTAATTTCATAATAAAATACATTGATCGTCCTCACCTATGTTTGTGTTCAATACAAACTTACTTTTTACAGACTGTTTACTCAAATAATACTGTTCGAATTAGAACTCTACTGTGAGTTGGCTGCTTATGTTCACAACTTTTATTGAACTTCCTCACGTCTCGTGCGCGAACGCTTCACTTTTAGACCAGTGAGCCAGCACCATACTGCGCCACCGTCCACATTGTTTTTAGTGAGTAACTACTTCAAAACAGACAGGATTGAACTACACCAGTCATGGCATCTCACTAGAACTCCAGGAAATACCTTTTGAACCCAGTCTCCAGTGAACATATGATTATTATTACTATCAGAATGAGGGTTTGTGTGGAGATTGTAGTATTTTAATAGTTGAATTCACGAGTCAATTAAAGCTAGACTACCATGATTTTAATCGATTCATGAATTCTACTATTAAGTAACTACAATCACCACACAAAACCCTCAATCTGATGATAATTATTTTAACGCAAAACTTTAATTATACATAATAAACACGAAACAACAACGCACAAGACTTACTGTTAATAATTTTTCAATAAATCTCAGCAATAAACAAAAAACTAGAAAAAAAGTTTTATTCATTAAATAAAACCAATTTTTCCGATGATCAATTTTATTTAGTAAATTGCTAATTAAGACTTTTACTAACTTCATCTTTAAGAAATATATAAACCATTATGTAAAAACAATTAAATAATATCAGAAGGGGTTTTTGTGGATATTATAGTAATTTAATAAAGCACTTCTTATATTAATCAACATAAGCTCATTAGTGACTGACTTTCAAGAAGTCTTTCCTGAAGTTCTAGCAAGAAGCAGGGACCAGTGGAGTTCAAACAGGTCGGTTGTGAGATAGTAACTCACGGAAGACATTGGTGGATGTGTCACCCAATTTCGTAGATTAATTGAATTTAGACATTAATACAATTGGATGCCTGCTCAGTGGTTTAGAGGTTAAGCGTTCGTGCACGAGACCGATAAGCTCTAGGTTCGAATCTCGAAAGGCGGGATCGTGGATGCGCACAACTGATGAGTCCCACAAAAGGACGAAACGGCAGTCCAGTACTTCCAGGTTTTCCACGATGGTCTACCTTCAATTGACTCATTATCTCAACTATCAAAATCAAATAATAACAAAACAATTATATTAAATAAATAAGTCATAGTTACAAAATTATTTTTATTTTTTTAAAAATAATCTACTTAATTTTCTCATACTTAATACATAATTCAAACTGTTATAGTATTTATTATAGCAAGGGTTTTGTGGAGATTTAGTATTTATTATAGTTGAAAGCGTGAGTCAATTGAAGCTCGACCACCATGGAAAACCTGGAAACACTGAACGGCCGTTTCGTCCCATTATGGGACTCCTCAGCAGTGCGCATCCACGATCCCGCCTCCCGAGATTCGAACCTAGGACCTACCAGTCTCGAGCCGAAGCCCTTAACCGATAGACCACTGAGCTGGCATCCAACGGTGTTAATGTCTAACTTCAACTGATCCACGAAGTTGAGCAACCATTCACCAACTGTCTTCAGTGAGTTGATATCTCACAACAGACGTGGTGGATCAGTTGAAGTTAGACATTAACACCGTTGGATGCCAGCTCAGTGGTCTATCGGTTAAAGGCTTCGGCTCGAGACCGGTAGGTCCTGCGTTCGAATCTCGCGAGAGCGGGTTCGTGGGTGCGCACTGTTATACTATTTATCGAATGCAATAACCACTGGTTTCTATGGTTTAACTCCATTTATAAGAAAATTTTAGTTGTACCTGAAAAACCGATTTTCATTATTATTATTACTATTATTATTATTACTATTACTATTATTATTATTATTATTTCCCTTTTTAATAAAGGTAATTATCAAAATAATGGAATACATAAAGAGAATACACTATGTGATTATGAATTTCATTATAGTAAATTATTAAATCATACAACTAATTATGGGAATTTTTTTTCACCATATTATCCAAGTAATTATCCACCAAATATTAAATGTCGATTCATTTTTAAAGCCAATAAAAATCAAAGAATAATTTTAACATTTCATTCAATTCAATTAAAATCAATGAAAAATGAAGATTCTATATACAATATAGAAAGGTTAGTATCAATATTGCATAGTGACTAATTTGTTTTTCTTTTCTGTGATAGACAATTGTAATTATATTAATTACGATAATGTAACAAGAAGGCGAAGATTATCAGAACTATATGATATATTAGCGCATTACATTTAGAACAATCGACCACATATTGTATACTTGTTAAGAACATTTATATAAATAAATAGCTTTACACCTATCCAATATACGAGAAATTTAGGTTAGATGCCTCATTAGTAGAGGCAAAAACATTTGTTTAGTAGATAATTTAAGTCAGGAACTAGAATTTATCTATAACTCACTGACAGAGATCGGCTAACCTGCTGCGTTCATTAAGATGTACATGTATGATACAAGGAAGAAGTCGGAGATTTCAAATGTTCGAAAGAAACCTTTATACATGAAATTACAATTGAAAGGGGATGTAGTTAGTGATAAAAATAAAAGGTCAACTAGACTGGAAATGGGGGGTAAGAGTAGACAAGGATAATAATAATAATAATAATTTGAAAATAATTTGAAACCCAATCACTCTGGATAATAAGCTAAAATTACACTTAATAATGCAACTGATTTATAAAATTCTTTTTGTATCGTTGATTCGAATCTTCCCATATAGTGTTTTGGAATACAATTGATCAGTCTCTTATTGGTATATATGCATCCTGAACGGATTGCCTCGATAATGCTTTAAGTCATAAGTAATATAAGCAATCATGGATGATGGTTACCAGTAGAATGGGAAGATTCAAACAAGCAATATAAAATGAATGAATGTGTTAAGTATCTTTCAAATAGAAATATTTTCCTCTATCACACCTATAATCCATGTTCAAAGTGTAAGTTTTCAATGAAAATACAGTCCATCATGCTGGAACATTACTAAGTTGTATGTTTTTGTTATACAAATATTTGTGTCAGTTAGAGTTATTCAAGCAATTTATCATTTCATAGGAATAATATATTTGTAAAATCTCAGTGAATGAATTTTAAAGTAAATCCAACGTTTCGCCTGGCAATCTGGTCCAAGCATTTTCAAGGAATTATAATCAAACATCAAAATTATCGAATATAAATAGGTACATGGTTCTCCGAGTTCATTATACACTGAATAGTTCATCCAATCAACGTTAACAAAGTTTGAACTAGGTATGTGTATTAGTGTGTAAGAGATGTGTGATGTGAAGTGATGAGTGTTCATATAACATATTGTTCAAACTTTGTTAACGTTGATTGGATGATTTATTCAGTGTATAATGAACTCGGAGAACCATGTACCTATTTATATTCGATAATTTTGATGTTTGATTATAATTCCTTGAAAATGCTTGGACCAGATTGCCAGGCGAAACGTTGGATTTACTTTAAAATTCATTCGCTGAGATTTTACAAATATATTATTCCTATTTAATGTCTTACATCAACTCGGCGCTCGAATACTGTGAAACTATTCGTTCTAATTTAGATGAGAGTTCTTATAAATTTATCATTTCATCATATATATACCTTGAAAGTTTATGACGACTAAAATTCTTTTGTTTAATTATCGTTTTGATTAAGAGAACAATTCACTTTGTTCATCATAGTGAATTAGATCAAACAATCATTAATTTTCAGTTAGTTGCTCATTGCACATCTATATTGATACTTAAGTTTTACAAATAATTAAAAAATTTGATTTATGTAAGTCATTTATTGTAGAAATTCCGCTTGATTTGTGAGATGTTTATAACAATTCTAATATTATCCAAAGAATTATTTAAAAAAGGGTAAACATAAAATTTCTTTCATGGCGGCCTGCTTGAATCCCTGGGCTACCTGTTTCTGCCATCTAAATAGTTCAACAAGTTATCTGGGTTTTTTAAAAATTGGTTTTAACCTATCATTATGTCTCTTGATCGCATAACCTGTACAGGCGCGTTTATGAAAAGCTTACGTCCTTTCGCTGCAAAAATCACAAACAAGTACAATAAGAGACATCGTGGTGGTTGGCAATATGCATTAAAGAGAATGAACATTAATCAAATGTTGATTCCAGAGCTGCTTAATTCTAACTGTCGATCTCTAATTGACAAGGTGGACTATCTCCAATTTCTGCTAAGTCAAAACATGTGTCGTAATTGTGGTGTCATCACAATTCAAGAATCTTGGTTGACTGACTTACAGGATGATTGCCTAGTATCATTACGTGATCTTAATATCTATCGTCAGGATCGATCAAACAATAAAAAGACCTGTGGTGGCGCAGTAGCTACTGGTTTTTTTTGTTTTGTGTTTTTTTTGGTAAAAAAAACTTGTTGAAATAACTCGTGCTGAGAATTCTATATTGTACCAGATTATAATATTGAATAAAGCCATTAATTATTATTATTATTATTAATATTAGAATGAGTATATTTAACTTCACAATAGCATAAAGTAGTTAAACAATAACAAGAAATCTATCAACTGATAACCATAGAATAAATTTATTGAACGCTGAAAGTGGCTAGGACACATTGAGGAAATCATCCACCTGCGTCACAAGACAAGCCCTCACATGGAATCCTAAAGACCGAAAGAGGAGAGAAAGACCAAAGAACAAATTACGCCGAGAAATCGAGACAGACATAAGAAGAATGAATAAAAGTTGGATAGAATTAAAAAGGAAGGCCCAGGAGTGAGTGGGTTGGAGAATGCTGGTCGTTGGCTTATGCTCTATCGGGAGTAACAGGCGTAAATAAAAAAAATTATTGAAGGTATGTGGATTGACTTCAACAAGATACAACAAAAGTATTACTATATCAATGAAATTCAATCAGAATTACATAATTCTAGAAATGTGGATCAGCTTCCAAATTATGAAAGAACAACTATCCAAATTTTCTTAGTTTTTTTTCTTTTTTATTAATTCTTCTGTAGTCATACATTCTTTAAGGATCTACTATAACCACAAGAATTGTAAAAAATTTTCTATCTTTTAACTATTGTACTGGATATCTATTTTTAATCAAAGTATAGTGAACAAGAACACAGACGGAACAATCGAATGTATTTAGGCACGAAATTACAAACTATCTTACTAAAATCTGACAACCAAACCGTAAACAGATAATTTACAAAATAACAATCAATTGTCTCAATCTTGATTGTTCCTTCTGTAAATATCAGTCCATCTTCTTTGATTTCATTTTTCATGCATTTTAATACTAATTACGCTTCATTCTTATTCTTTCCTTATCTATCTTCTGCTAAAATACATCCTATGCCTGACCCTCACTATATACTACTTATATGGATATAAATAACCCATACTACAAAAGTATCCTTACTGTTTATAAATCATATTATTCTTATACATTAGATAATCTTAATGTAATAAATTATATGACATAAATGAGAGTTACATTAAACGTATTATTATATAACTGACAACTATATATCTATCTCTCTGTTCTTCTTGACTTGTGATAGATACTAGTTTTTATTTCATCGTTTATTCAAACTGATTTGATTTATTCAAATGAAATGACAGTCATAATTTACTAATGAAAAGAATAACTGTCTCCCAATATGTTGTTTCACGATATAAATATATAAAGTCAATTACCAAGAAGTTTAGAATTATAAATAGCCGTTTTTCATGATGAAACTGACATTATGGAAAAATTCTATAAATCAATTATGTAACAAATTAAATGTTGATTTTATATTACTGATAGAAAAATATTAATGAGTTTAAACATGATTTAGTCTCTGATTAGATTAATAAAAAATGAATAAGAAATTAATTCAAATAGTGCAAATCTAACAAGTGTGTATACAACTATGCATTTGTATCCATAGTGATTTAACCTACATGACTATCCACTTGGTGTTGTATGCTTATATCTTCCCGGTAATGTTTACGACTGCAATTGATCAGTCTCTTATTGGTATATGTGCATCCTGAATGGATTGCCTCAATATTGCCTTAAGTCACAAACTTTTTAAACAATGGTGGATAGTGACCAGTAGTGGAATCCAGGACATGCGTTTCGTCCTATTCGGGACTCATCAACTCGATATAACTGCAACCCAGAGTTGATGTTTACTCTGGGATTGGAGTCCCAAATACGAACAAACTCGCTTTCTGGATTCCACTGTTAACCACTATCCATTTTTGCTATATAACTATGTTTCACGTCAAATTTTCTTTAAATTGTACAACTTGTTTTTAAAAATTCACTAGGTAAAATTATCGAATACATTTTAATTAATTAACAAGATTTAATCAGTATACGTAGTTCATCTATTGAATACAATAAATAAGTATATAGTATCTTATAGAGCTTGCATAGATTACTCATAATGCCTATGTGATCAATTAAAACTTTTCGACAAATACATCAGTGTTATATTTTTGAGTCAATATGACTACACATGTTTAGTTTTATCAGTTATTTGCTTGGAACACTGGTTAATTTTATATAAGCATATTTGTGTACATATATTTACTTACCACCTATTGTATTCGTTACCTGTTTTTAGCTTGTTCTAATCGGTATTATTATCACTATTGAGTCAAGTTTAATAAAACTGAATAGATTGAGAAGCTTTACTCCATGTCTCACTCACACAGTCTGTCTAGGTAATGTCCGAAATAAATTTTCCTAAATTAAATCGTGTTTTCCTTCTATTAACCTTATTAACAGGTTTAGCCTAGATAAAATTTACGGAACTAAGTAGAGTATTTATATTTCATGGTTTATTCATAGTTATTCATAATGGATTCCGTGCATTCAAACAGTCTACACTTCCAGATAACGCGTTTAATTTAAGACTGGACAATTGCAGAAGATTAGAATCAAAGAAATAATCCAGTTCTCCAAATGTTTGTTTTTAATTTATAAAACTTATCAAAAACGGAAGTCAACAATTGATCTTACCCTACATTACACATTTTTATTCTCTCACTGAAATATGTAACCTACTTGCAAATGGCTATTTTATTTAATCTAGTGTTTTCACTAATCGCAGTCAACAATTCAGAAATTTGTTGAAAATCCTATTCAAACTTTATTAAACTTTAATGTACCTCACTTCAAAGTTTTACTAAAATCTTAATAATAAATGTATATTGGTTTTTCTCAAGCTTTAAAAGTAGTACAACAGTTATTATTCTATGACAAGCAAATAAGTCAGATAATGAGGACAATGATAGTCTATAAACAAGAATGTAGAATTGTGTATTTGTCACGGCAACATAGATTAATTAATAAACTTTTCTCTTTCCTAACGAGTAGGTGCGCTACAAGAAATTCTATACCTGTGCATAATGATTTTATTTCTATATCTGAGATGTACAAGAATAAATCAAGAACTTTGGCATATCTATGTACTAATCTAGTGAATATACAACTTGTTTCACATAGTCCTATATTAAGATTGGACTTTATCAGTCGTAGTCCTTTCTATCAAGGTCAAGGTTTTCATGGAACTTATGAGTTTGTTCATGAATCACAAGTTTTACCTTCTCCATTTCTTGAAGAAAATGATCAACTAGTTGAAACTAATGAACATGAAGAGAAATATCAAAATCCTAGAAATGATCGAGATAAAGTAGAAAAATTTTCAAATACTAACAAGTCCAGACTGTTTTTTGCAGATGCCGGATTTACATCCACAAGAAATATGCAATTTCGTGAAGGTAACTAAATAATTTTTATTCTATTATTTTTGCATCTAAATATGTTTTGGATATTTTAAATAAAAACTGACAGGAAGTCTATATCATTATCTGTTTGTATATTAGACGTTCAGTAATTCCCAGTAACCGTGTTTACTAAATCATTAGTAGTATTAACTTAGAATTTCTAATTCTACAAAAGATTGGTTATATTTCTAAACACTTCGCTAGCTTTCACCAACAACATATACCTATGAAAACGTAGACCTGAAAAAACAGGTTAATTGTTACTTTATGATGGTACTTATGAGAATGGTGTTGATTAAATTTAAATGTCAAATATCTCAACCAATTAAGTTTCAATAGATGTCAGATTGTGTGAGAAATATGTGGCATTGTTTTCCTCTGGATTATACTTTAGTGACCCGAAATCTGACTTCAGGTCTATCGTATGAATGATTGTTATTGAATGGTTGCTGTCGAAATATACATCCTGACTATGGTCGTATATTATTATCGACTTAAATCGCATTAGTGAAGAACGAAATTGAATAAGTCAAATACGAGAATGAATTTCGAATATGTATATTTTATGAAATCATTGATCCAAACAAATGAGCGAAGAAACTAAGCGGAAAGTAGAGAGCAAAGAGAAATGACGTGCAGCGGAGATGGACGTGTGAGCCAACTCGATTTAATCAAGCGTTTATCAATATTTATAGTCATACAGAAATAAGCTACAGACATGTGATGAACAGGATAAGAAGTGTACACACATACGCTCAAATAAAAATAGTCACTGTTGATAAGTGGATAATTAACAAGGTTAAAACGTGACTCAAGAAGAATGGATAAATTGCCCTGTCCAGAACCTAGAATAAGATATTAGGCTTAACATAGTAACCGACACTACAATACTCTTGAAAATACTAGTATAACTTGTAAATTTTAAAACGAATAAAATTTCAATCTAATTTCCCTCGGTAAATTACTGTTGGTACAAAACCAAAGTAAATTTCTTGATAGTTGATGTCAGAGAGAACCAGTCGCTTATCAATTACGTAGAATATGATGAACAGTTTATTTTCATAATTAATTTTATGATAGACACACTTTCAGTCTTCTCTTTTCTGATTTCTACTAATTTTTTGACAACCACAAATGAACAGTAAATAATATATAAACATATATGTAATATCTTCACAGTTGAATTCACTAGTCGATCCAAGCTAGACTTCCATTGAAAACCTATAAGCATTAGAAGACCGTTTCATCCTAGTATAGGGCTCCTCAGATGTGCGTACCCACGATCCCGCACGTGAGACTTAAACCCAGGACTTCGGTCTCGCTTACAAACACTTAATCTCTAGATTACTGAACCGACTCACTGTTGATGGGTCTCATACTGGAACTGAACGGCCGCTCAGTGCTTCCAGGTTTCAATAGTGGTTTGGCCAATATCGACCAGTCAGTTCAACAGTGAAAATACTACAATCTCCACAAATCCCCATACTGATAATATAGCTTTCATTAGGCCATCAGTATTTCATTTTGTCTAGCATTCAAAGAATATTTTTAATCTAATTTTATTGAAATACTTCGCTTACAACTTTGATAAATTCATTTTCACCGAAAATTTAAAATAATTCTTTGTAAATAAAATTCCAATCTTGAGAATTGGTAAAAAAGAAGAACAGAACGAAGGAATTTCTTTCAATTAGTCTTTCATCATACCTCTACACCTATATAGATATATATGACCTACAACAATGCAATAGCACTCATGAATTAGCTACATTACGTAATTATTATATAATATCATGGTGACTACGAAGTAATATTGAGTAATTGGAAGAAAGAGGATTATAACAATCAAAGTAATTATTTTAAAAGTGAAACAGTTGCTACGTTGCATGATATATAAAGGAAAGAACTAATAAAATATTTTGATAAAAGGTCAGTATTATAGTAGTTATTTAAGAATCATGAGACGAATGTTGAAAATACAAAAAAAGAAATCAGCGGATTGTTTAAATATTTTCAAAGGAAAGGTTTTAATCAAAGTCTAACTCGTATACTGATAGTCAAGGTAGCTAGAGTGATTGTACAAACTTTTTTTGGATGCAAAAGTTAGATTTTTTGAACATGGATTCCGATAGCTTCAGTAATATGCAAAAAGCAAACTCGTATACTATTTAGTAAATTTGATAGGGTATGGTGGACAACCTTGGAAGCTTTATTGAATTCAATTTGATGACGTGTGTTCACGAAGTGAACCAGACCCTTAATCAGTCTTACCAGTTCTTTACTCAACCAAATCGGATGGTGTTCTGCTATGCGGTGACGAGCTTGCCTATTTGAATACCCTATATAACTGGCTCTAAAGGATCTGTTGGATTGGTAAATACACATGGATGTGGCGAATTCAGGTAATCTGTCTTTATTAACGGTTTTCATTGTAAAAACGCCATTCTGTCTGTCTGCAGTAAATATTTTCTGAGCCGCCTTTCTGAACTTTTGAGTTACAGTTTCTTTGGAAGTATCATTTGGTAATTATAGTCTTAAGGACAGTACGTTCTACGGATCGCTAGATACATTTGGTCTCCTTTTCATGTCATTCATGTGTTCGTTGGGGTTCCATTCTTACTGAGCAGGTTACGAATATTTCTCAATTCGTTTAAAATGTCATCATGGCAAATCATTCTAGCACAACTGGTCAGGATCTTTACTAAGTTTCTTTTGTATCTGATTGGTCCTGCACTAGAGAAATGATTAGATTGTCCAACTGCATACTTTCTGTATATTCCGGAAGGGGACGTTATCATGCATTTAAGAATTAACTGCTTTATTTCCGACACTGGAATTAAGGTTTCTATGCGCCTCTCTATTAGTTCACTACAAATAAAATCTACAGTTTCGTTATTTTAATTGGCTTAATGTATCAAACGATTTGGTGTATTACCAACTGGTAGTGAAACGATTATTTATTTAATTGTCAGAAGGGGTTTTGTGGAGATTTAGTATTTTCATAGTTGGAAGCGTGAGTTAATTGAAGCAAGACCACCATGGAAAACCTGGAAGCACTGGATGGCCGTTTCGTCCTATTATGGGACTCCAGCAGTACGCATCCACCATCCCGCACTCGAGATTCATTGGTGACTGACTTCGAGAAGTAAATCAAGTGAGAAGTAGTGACCAGTGGAGTTCAACTACGCCTATTGTGAGATATCAATTCATTGAAGACAATTGGTGAACGGTTGCTCAACTTCGTGGATTGGTTAAAGTTAGACATTAACACCACCGGATGCTGTCACAGTGGTCTAGATGTTAAGTGCTCAGGAGCGAGATTGCTAGGTCCAGGGTTCGAATCTCGGGAGGCGGGATCGTGACTGCGCACTGCTGAGGGGTCCCACAGTAGGACGAAACGGCCGTCCAGTGCTTCCAGGTTTTCCATGGTTGTCTAGCTTCAATTGACTCACGCTTTCGATTATTTATTTACCATGAAACGGGACAATATGTAATGAATACAGAAGAACAATATAAGTATAAAATTATTACTTAAAAACACCAGAATACTTACAATCTTATAGGTGATCCAAGGTTGGTCACTGAATTTCGGTGTCATTGTTATGTTACTTGAATAACTAGCTAATAAGATAGAAAAACTATCAGTCTTGTATTTGTTAATGATCAAATATCATTGAAGATAATATACGGGATATCAATGACACAATTGCATTTACAAAGTATGTTTATATGACATATTACATAGGGAAATGAACAAAAATTATCGATGTATAAAATATGTATTGTTCAAGTAATATATCATAAAAATCAATTTAATGTGAAAATTTATTTTTACCTGAATATAAATGTTTTCTACCATTCGATTAGTGTCTGTCATTGTACAACTACCATGAATACAATAAATGACTTCAGTAATTTTAATATGTGCATGATACTATACACTGTAATCTTGATCTCCATTATCAGAATACCCTGGGTTTGACATGAATGTCTTAGTTATTAGAAGCAAATTCTAATTCTTTGATAGAATGACCCAATTCATTTTATCAAGCTACATCCAGTTGCTTTTGAACTGACATTCGATATATATGGAGATGAAATGAATAGAAATTGTAAGAAACTATGTCTTAAACAATGACAATTATATTTCTATATTGAAAATTTTTTTTTTCTGTACAGAAGACATTGGTCCAGAAAGTTAGGGTTATCGAAACCTATCGGGAATAAAAATGTATATGTGGTATATAGTACATATTTCATCTATTTTATAAAATTAACAAAAATTATGTTATATCTTATTAAGTTACGTTTAACTAAAGTACTAATCAATGATCACAAGCTAGGGTAAGTAGTTACACAGTAAATGAAATATGTCTTATTTGTATGAGATTGTGGAGATTGTTAAGTTTTTTACTGAAATCATGAATTGATCGATGTTAGACCACCACTGAAAACCTAGGAGCATTGGACGGCCGTTTCGAACCTGGCGTGCGTGATCGTGGATGCGCACTGCTGAGAAGTCTCATACTAGGACGAAACGGTCATCAAGGTTTTCATTGATTGTCTAACATTGATCGATTCATAATCTCAATCAAAATATATCTTAGTTAAATTCATAAAATACAAGCATCACACCTATGAAATCACCGTTATTGAAAAACCTTCAGATTTCAGTTATTTTGAGCACGAAAAGAAAATTAATTGATTTGAAAAATGAGAAGGGATTTTGTTGAGATTTAGTATTCTCATAGTTAAAAGCATGAGTCAATTGAAGCTAGACAACCATGGAAAACCTGGAAGCACTGGACGGCCGTTTCGTCCTACTGTGGGACCCCTCAGCAGTGCGCAGTCACGATCCCGCCTCCCGAGATTCGAACCCTGGACCTAGCAATCTCGCTCCTGAGCACTTAACATCTAGACCACTGTGACAGCATCCGGTGGTGTTAATGTCTAACTTTAACCAATCCACGAAGTTGAGCAACCGTTCACCAATTGTCTTCAATGAATTGATATCTCACAATAGGCGTAGTTGAACTCCACTGGTCACTACTTCTCACTAGAAATCCAGGAATTACCACTTTAAGTCAGTCACTTCCAGGTTTTCCATGGTGGTCTTGCTTCAAATGACTCATGCTTTCAACTATGATTTGAAAAATCTCATTTTGTAAATAGAAAAATGTACTTTCTTTGAATAATAACACTAGTTTATTTATTTCAGACGAATATTCATTCGATCCAGATTTTATGAACTTACAATATTCTAATCAATTCAATAATGAAATGAAATCGAAATATTTACGAAAAAAAATAATCTCTAAAGGTCCATTAAACCGTACTCAAGGCGTAATTCATTCACCTCAATTCCCGGAACCATATCCACCTTCAATTATAGCAATGTATACATTTATAGGTCAACCTACAGAGATAATTTTGGTTAAATTTTTATTTCTGGAACTTGGTAATTCTAACAGGTAAGTATATCATCATCAGTATGAATTTTGAACGTTTATTTAGAACATTTTTTGTATTTTGGAACTGATTCACTGTCGAATGATTATTTTTTCGTCATACTTACTTTCTTACGCCTATTACTTCTCATGGAGGAGCATGGGACGCTCACCAGCATTCTCCATCCAACTTTGTTCTAGGCAATCCTCTCCAGCTGTTTTCAGTTGCTATTCATTCTTTAGATGTCTAATTCTAGTTCTCGACTCAGTGTCAGGTCAGGTCAGCTACAACGTAGGACCAGGCACATATATGCATCGGTCCAAGTTGCCATATCTCGTTAGCACAACAAGAGGAACACCGGATTCATAGTAGTTAATCTAGTGTTGGTAGTAGTATATAAATTATAGGTTGTATATAAGGATATAGTACAGGAAGGAAGAGAGATATGAAGCAATTTTAGTCTCAAGGTTTAAGGGAAGATAAAGAGTGTATACACCTACGCCATTGTGACCGATTCTGAGCCATGTCACCTAGAGTCTCCAACCATTGGTTACGATAGTCACGCGGACCCCAACCAGGTAGTCTGCATCTGCCAACATGGCTCAGGCTAGAAGTTAGTGACTTCAAACACTGATGCCTCGACTCAGTGTATTGTTTGGTCTCCCGCCTTTTTGTTTCTCTTTACAATTCCAAGTTATCCCTTTCCTCGTGATGCTGTTTGATGATTTCCGCAATGTATGTCCTATCCACCTTACCCAGTCACACTTGATGGCGAAACTATGGAAGATGTGGAAACTTTCACGTGCCTCGGCATCATCATCATCATATGTGTTACATAAAAAACAGTGTTGTTCTAAACAAACAATATACTATCATGTAACCTATGAACTCCATTGAATACAAACAAGAGTCAATATGAATTGATTAGTTCATGATTACTAAGCAAGTGGATAATTTCATTCAACAAACACTTATTTGCAAATTACTCTGTTAACTTCATAAAAGTAATCTTTATATGCACGCTAAATCATCTTTCTAAAGAGGGATGGTTTCTTAACTGTTAGATGGAACAAATAATGGAAGGGAGGGCGGTCCCTCCACACTCTCGGCCGTACCAGGGCATTTGGTTAATATAATATTTTGGGTAAATTTATTAACTTCGAAGGACAGACAAAAATTAATTTTTGATCTATGTTTTCCTACGATTTTATGGCATTTAATTGTTTCCTACACAGAATAGAAGATAACTCAAGCGTTAGTATATTCAGTTTATACAACAGATTTGACAGATTATTAGTATCTGAAAGAAATAGTTTATTATTCATTTAGATATTTGCATTGTTATACTAAACTAAAGAATTATTTAGTCCTATCAATTGTCATTTGATAATCACGTTATAATTGAAATCATGAACCGTTCAATATCAGACTAACATTAAAAATGTGGAAGCACTGGATGGTCGTTTCTTCCTAATGTGCGACACCTCAAAATTGCTCATCTACGGGCCCAATAGTGTTAATGTCTAACTTCAAACAATCCATGAGATTGTGCGAATATCTTCCACTGTTTTCGGTGCGTAACTGCTTTACCCCCGACACAACCAAACTACAATAGTTGCGGCTCCTTGCGAGAATAACCTCTCAAAGCTAGTCACTAGTGAGCATACGATAATTATTAGTAAGTGGTTGTAGATAATGTTGAGTTTTAAATAAGATCACGAAACGATCGTGTAAGACCACCACTAAAAACCTCAATTTTGACATAAACATCAATGAATGTTGGCTCAGTGGTCTAGAGTTTAGGCGTTTACACATGCGATCGAAGGTCCTGGTTTGGAATCCCGTGTGCTGGATTCTCACCTCTGATGAGACCCTTGTTTTGGCAAAACGGCCGTAAATGGTTTCCAGGTTTTCAATGGTAGTTTAACATCAATCGGTTCATGATCTCTATTAAAACTCAAGTTTCCATAGTCCCATACCAATAAATGCGTTATAATCAACTAAGTAAGTGAATTTTTTGAAAATACTGGGGTATGATAATGTAATATGGTGGTTTTATGAATAAATTAATAAACTTATCAGCATTCTTAGCAATAATTATATACTACATAAACACAAAATATCATAATGCTGTAATTAGTTGAATTTGGTAGTTTCATTGTAGGTAATAAGTTTCATTAGAATATCTTTTATTGTATGAAAGAAATATCAAATTTCAAATTTATGTATATGTATATAAACATTTTTTTATTCAATTTTGGACCAGTATATACTAATTATGATGATTATTACTATTTACTATTTTGAAGATTTTCTATTATAATTTTACTAAACAAATAGATCTGATTCTCTAAAAATTTTAGTTTCAAATAGTAACTAAATGTAAACTATATTTGTATTGACATTAAATAGGAATAATATATTTGTAAAATCTCAGCGAATGAATTTTTTAAATTAAATCCAACGTTTCGCCTAGCAATCTGGTCCAAGCTTTTTCAAGGAATTATAATCAAACATCAAAATTATCGAATATAAATAGGTACATGGTTCTCCGAGTTCATTATACACTGAATAAGTCATCCAATCAACGTTAACAAAGTTTGAACAATATGTTATATGAACACTCATCACTTCACATCACACATCTCTTACACACTAATACACATACCTAGTTCAAACTTTGTTAACGTTGATTGGATGAACTATTCAGTGTATAATGAACTCGGAGAACCATGTACCTATTTATATTCGATAATTTTGATGTTTGATTATAATTCCTTGAAAAAGCTTGGACCAGATTGCCAGGCGAAACGTTGGATTTAATTTAAAAAATTCATTCGCTGAGATTTTACAAATATATTATTCCTATTTAATGTCTTACATCAACTCGGCGCTGAAATACTGTGAAACTATTCGTTCTAATTTAGATGAGAGTTCTTATATATTTGTATTGATTCACTATGTGATTTATAGATAATCCAAATATAAATATCATATTCCATAAAACTATTTTGATAGTTCAGTTTATCATGTTATCTATTTACCTTATACACTTTTATATTAATTTTTTTAGCTTTGAAAATGAAAATAAATCATTAGGAGATTGTATTCAATTATTTGATGGAATACATATTGATGATCCATTAATTATAGAATATTGTGAAAATCAAATTATATATATTAATGAAAAAAAATTATATAAAACAATTAAATTTGAATATTTTATATCATCAAAAAATTTAATGACATTAAAATTTAAAAGTGATCAAATAACTAAACCAAATGAATTAGGTTTTAAATTATTTTATAGTTTTGAAAAACAAAAACAAAAACAAAAATATATTTATGAAAAAGAAAATTATTTAAAAATAACTGATCAAACTGAATTTATTCAAAATAAACCGATTAATTGTTCAAAATTAAGTAAGTGATTTATATATGGAGTTAGTAAAATAAAAAAAAAAAATTAAAAAATCAGTTGTTTTTTTTTGTTTTTTTTTATTTTTAAAGTTCCATAAAATCATATAAAAACTTGAATACGGTATTTAACTATTTATAAATTATAAGTATAAAGAATAATAGACAATGAGTATTTATTAATCATCCTTTAAATCTACAATAATTAAAGACGTTTATTTATTTTCTTTGAAGAAGCACATGACATTGTCATAGAATATTAGAAATTCTAAGTTCTATTCAATGAAATATCACAAACATACCATTATTTTAAGCAAAGATGGATAGTGGAATTTAGGATATGCGTTTCGTTCTATTTGGGACTCGTCAACTGGATGTACCTGTATCTTAGGGTTGATGTTCACTCTGGAACTCAAAACCAGTACCTTTCTTTTTAAACGCCATCGCTTTATCGACTCAGCTACTGAGTCCTGATAGCCACTTGCTTGTGAATACCACTTTTTTATTATTAACAATCAATACAATGCTCAATTTATTTGAAATTATCAAGTCTAACCTAAACAATGAAATTTATTTAACTTTAAGTGCTTCAATCCTGCACTACATGTTTCATATCACAGTTTGATCAAAAGCTTACATGTTTTTTGACAGAAAAAACACATAGTTGAATCATATAAAAACTTATTTATTAAATTAATTCGAATATGTAAAGGGAGTTATTTGTATTGTGAAAAAAAGGTAACAATCGATTCTCCAGTAAAGTCTATTCAAGTCTATTCAAACGTCCAGAGCTTTAACCGGGTTGGTGGATACAGAAAGTCCACCTAGGGGGGTTGTAAAACCCTGATTCCAAACCAATGGTGCAAATGGGCTCCAGTATTATGAGGCAACAAATAGTGTATAAACCAATGATTGGTCAACAGCTACCATGGGACTGAATCTCCTCACGATGCTCCACTGTCTTGTGAATCAGACCTTTAGATCGAAGGCTCTGAGTGTGGCCCCCTAAGAAAACCACCTCTTTCGGTTCGAGCACCCAGGCAGAATCACAGCCCTCACGCAAATCAAATGAGATTTGTATGGCGCTTATATATCTGGTGCCTTTTGTACCAATACTTATGTGTTTAATTAAAATAAAAAAGACATATTTAAACATTTCGTTATTTTGGATAACTGCATAGACTATAGAAGAGTAAACATCCATCAATTATATAATAGAAGACTAAATATCTGAATCCATGTTGTAATAAGAAAAAAATATGAAATTGAAGAGACAATAGTTAACATTATGAGATAAAGTATAGGTTTTTTTACTATGTGTATGAATGTTAGATGTTAAAATTAAACTTGTTTATCACTTTTGAAACAATTTAAATGGATTCTAATCATTCAGTCCCAAAGGCTTAAGATATAATGTGTCTACTTAAAACTCTACAGTATTACTACACAATCAGAAGATTAAATTCAAACATACAAAAATATTGGTAACAAGGATGGAGAAAAATAATATTAATCTAAATTCTTGTTACCCAATTATTAAATAATCCATTGAAAATCAGAAGGGGTTTTGTGGATATTATGATAATTTTAACAGTTGAGATCTTGATTCAGTTGAAGGTAGACCACCATGGAAAACCTGGAAGTACTGGACGCCCGCTTCGTCATATTATGAGCATCTACGATTTCGCCTCGCGAGATTCAAACCCAGGATCTATCAGTTTCATATGCGAGCGCTTCACCTCTAGACTACTGAGCCGGCATCCAACGGTGTTAATGTCTAACTTCAACTAATCCACGAAATTGAGCGACACATCCACCATTATCCTCAGTGAGTTACTATCTCACAACTGACCTGGTTAAACTCAATTGGTCACTGCTTCTCACTAGAACTCCAGGAATTATCTCTTGAAGTGAGTCACTAGTGACCATATGTTGAATAATATCAGAAGAGGTTTTGTGGATATTATAGTAATTATACTAGTTGAAACCTTGAATAAATTGAAGCTAGACTACCATTGACAATCGCTGCACTGTTAATTTACCACATACTCATCAATCAATTATCTTGCTGCATAAAATGTCATGAAAATTCACCTATTCTAACTGATACTTTCTAGGTACAATCTTTTTAGAACTGTTATTTAGTTAATGTTATATGAAGACAGTAAAAATGATAAACAGTTTGTATCTAACGAACCAGTTTCCCAATATGTTTAAAAGTGTTTACTTCAAAATCAACCCGGAAAATTGTTTTATTTATTTATTTTACATATAAGTAATCAAATGGTATTTGTACAATACATATACAGTGAAATGTATGTAATCCACCTTTCACCAGAACAATTGTCCAAATGTAAATGTATTCTTTTTGTTTGTTTTTTTTTGTTTATTTTGTTTATTACAGAGTTTATTACTGAGATTAGTTTCATTCTGCCTATAATTATATGTTACCAATTGAAAGAAAACAGATGACAAAGGTGAATTATGGACATGTTTCTAATATCTCTAGTTGTACTAAGTATTATATACAGGTCATTACAGCAATCAGAAACGAAAAGATTTCAACAAATATACATATATACACTTTATTTTTTGACTATGAAACAATGATGACTTTTCTATTTACTCTTTCTGTTATATCTCGTGGAAATTTATGAATGGTAACTTGAGAACTACAAAATTATTAAACATTCTAGATGAACGTCATTCCTCTCTCTCTTTCTCTCTCTCTCTCTATATATATATATATATCTATATTACTTTGTATATAAATCGAATTGTACATATTCAATAGCACATTATCTCTGTACATCTCTTGTTCTTTGTTCTCTCTCCTGTTCCATTTTTTTAAAAATAGATGCACAAATTGTTATATCCCCTGGTGAATTATGAATGGTAACTCCAAGGACTATTTATCGACCAATGCATTATGCGTATTGTACAATTGTTACGTAACTAAACGATTCATATTTGTGTTTCTCTTATCATGAGCTTTATTTTGATCTTTGATTTATTATCATACGATTCTTGAGTTATACTCAGTTATTGATTACTTTGGTTTGTATAAAAACCCATTATGTTTGTAAATAATGATTCATACCACTGAGGCTGTTATTGGTGTTTTTGGACTTAACTGGCTGGGCTAAGCAGATCGCAGGACCGGTCAGCACTCTAGGCTGCTCGTACGGGTTTCGTGTCACTGTTCAACCGATAATTCGCTGCTCCCTAATTGGCGGTCTTATCGCGTCACACATCAACTAGTCATCCACTCGGCCACAGATATAACACAAATATTTTAAAAAAATCATATATATTTTGAAATATATTTTGTTAATTTGGTTATTTATGCCATGGATACTAGTTTGTTTATTTTTTCATTGTAAAAATTAAATACATGGAAACAAGGTAGTAACCATCATCATCATCAAAGAGATTAAGAATAGTTTTTTATTGATTATTGACTTGTAAGAATATTTAGTTACCTTATTTTTAAGGTGTTCGTAACAAAAAAAGTTTAACATTCCATTAGAGTTGCACATTTATTCATTTCGTAGATTATCTTTGTATATATTAATAGTTAGAAGGGGATTTGTGGAGATTTAGTATTTATTATAGTTGAAAGCGTGAGTCAATTGAAGCTAGACCACCATGGAAAACCTAGAAGCACTGGATGGCCGTTTCGTCCCATTATGGGACTCCTCAGCAGTGCGCATCCACGATCCCGCCTCCCGAGATTCGAACCCGGGACCTACCAGTCTCAAGCCGAAGCCCTTAACCGATAGACCACTGAGCTGGCATCCAACGGTGTTAATGTCTAACTTCAACTGATCCACGAAGCTGAGCAACCGTTCACCAATTGTTTTCAGTGAGTTGATATCTCACAACAGACGTGGTTGAACTCCACTGGTCACTACTTCTCAGTAGAACTCCAGGAATCATTTCAAATGTGAAAAATATTAATAGTTGTTTTGTTATGAAAGGTAGTTTCTAGAGGACAAATATATATATATATATATATATATATATATATATATATATATAGCTTATGAAGAGATATTTGGACAATAAGTTACTCAATCTTGCCTTGTATTAACGTGGTAGTTAACTAAGCAATTTCTAGTGGCGAATTATGACAAGATAATAACGCTTTAAGTGCTTATATGTTGTTTGACTTTTAACATTCAGTATTCCATTCTCAAATAACTGCCTATGTCAAAGACGACTGTATATCGAATAAATTAGAAATTGAGATTTCTTACTCAGGTAATGATATGTTTTAAATAATTAGTTGACAAACATCCACATCAAATACAATGTTTTTATGTAACTATGCTCAAAATCGTTCTTGCACAGTACAATTTGTATGTGTGTTAAATTCATTATTGTCACAGAAAAAACTCTAGCACCACCCGTACAACGAATTTTGATTACGGTTAATTTGGGTTAAGCCCTTTTATTAACTTACTTAACAGACAATGTTATTTAAACAGTGACAATTCGCATATTTTTTGTAGTATTATGATCACTATCATATCTGTATAAACGTGTACACTTGATCACATAAGAAACTCTAGTGAAAAAGTTGGTATATAAGAACCCAAATTACCTTTTCTAGACTGTTTAGTTGGTAGTATTTTCCGAAGGTCGATATATTCAGGGAAATTTCTAGATTTTAAGTCGGCATATCCACACTCGACCAAAGTGACAGTGGCCAAAAATATGATCACAAAACCTCAAAAAGTTGACACTGAACAAAGTGATATAGACATGGAAATGAATTTAAATACATTTACTCTAATCATGAACAATTATCCGAAGGATTTTATTAAAAGAATAATTGAGGATGAAAGAAAAAACGGCATTAATAATACCAAAGGATCAAAGAAAAAAGAATGGGTTAACACAGTGGTGATCCCATATCGGAAAGGTATTTCAGAAGACATTAGAAGAATCCTAAATATTCAAAAGTATAGAAGTATTTTTCCGAACAAGCAATACTCTAAGATCAAAATTAGTAAGAATTAAAGATTCAAAACACAACGAAAATGTTGGTAGTTTAAATATTCTCTTCCACATGTATATATGTACTTGAATCCTATTATTAACCTTTGCCTTGCCTCTTCACGCTTTGGTTCGATTTGACTGTAAATTTGCCTCTGTATTTGCTCGGATATACAGATTAGCCTCTGTGCTTCGAATTCGCATAATGTGTTTATAGATTTGTTATCTGGGCTATCCGCTAATAAACTGAAGTTGCTGTTCCTTATTACCTTCTGATATCAAACACCGTTGGGATTTATATAATAACGGTTACAAATGTGATTTATTAACGAAGCAAAGCCACTACAAATCTACAACACTATATTGTTTCAACATATCGGTCCAAATAATTGTGCACTTACAGAATGAATAAACGTTAAATTAACATTAATGCTTTCTTTAAAATGCCTTTTACTGTTATCAAGAATTCAATATCTTCCTGTTTTTCATTAATACAAACTTCAGAAAGAGGAAACTGTCAGAATCAAAAACTAATTCGAATATTTTGTATTATCAACAAGTAATCTAACTAACTACTGTTAGTAACTATAATATCAATATCTTCATGATTATCTTAACCGTTCTTTTCAATATTTTGATCTCATTACCTATGATTATTAAATACTTGTCACACTGGCAAGTAGACTATGTCTATTTGGATAATGTAATAAAAAGACGAAGATTATCAGAACTATGTTGATATATTAGCTCAATGCATTTCGAACAATCTGATCACACATATACTTGTTAAGAACATTTATATATAAAAAAAGGGGGTAAGGATAATTATAATAAAAATAATGTGAAAACAATTTGACACCTAATCACTCTGGATAATAAACTAATATTACCAGGGTAGGTTTAAAGAGAGAACAAACTGATTATTTCCCTGAAGAAGTCCAGACAAGTTAGCTGGACGAAACGTTGGAATTATTTATATTTCAATCGCTGAGACTATTTCAAATATATTTTTTTCACATATAATGTTTTTGACTTTGTCTATTTATTACCAAATAACAACCCCCTACCATGTACTATTACATAATCGTAATCAGTGATTTATTTACACTATTATTAATAAACGATGATTTTCATTTAACAATATTTACATTTAAAAACATTTTATGTTTACATTTCTAACTTCATCTTATCAGTCTTTATTTGGATAATTTTTGCTTATTGATAAAATCATAATCATCATGAATTTACTAAGTTAGATTAACAATTATGGAGAGTTTCTTATTTAAACTAATATCATTGTCTAACTAAAACTTTTTCTAATAAAATTCTCCTGTTTAGTTGATAAGCAATACTTGCATTAAATAACTGCTTATCGTAAATTTATCAGATAACAAACAAGGAAACCATAATTTGATTAGTTAGGTATTTTAATACTGTTTGATAATAGAGTGTTATTCAATTTTATGTTTGTTTAATCTTTAGACATGAACGAATTCTGTTGACTGAGTAATACCATGATTACAGATGTTACGACGCGCTATGTCGACTAGTATTGGGGATGCTTGGAAGAGATTTAAGGGCGGTCAAATCAAAACGTAGCATCAGAGCTTGAAGTCACTAACTTCTAGTCTGAGCCATGTTGGTAGATACAGACTGCTTGGTTAGGGTCAGGATGACTATCGTAACCAATGGTTGGAGACTCTAGGTGTCATGGCTCAGAATCGATCACAATGGCGTAGGTGTATACGCTCTTTATCTTCCCTTAAACCTTGAGATTAAAATTGCTTCATATCTGTCCTTCTTCCAGTAATATATCCTTTTATACAACCTTTCTTTTATATATTACCACCACTAAATTAAATACTTCTATGAATCCGGTGTTCATCCTGCTGAGCTAACGCGATATGGCAACTTAGACCAATGCATATGTGTGCCTGGTCCTACGCTGTAGCTGCCTGACTGAATACAGATCTGAGAGCTATAACATTGTTTGATTTCGTTTGGTGCTGGATAGTTCACTGCGAAGAGATCAATAGAATAGATGTTTGAGATTATATGACTTTACATTAACCTCATTTGTTACAAGTACACTGATGTGAATATTTTGAAAGCTATAGAAGAAACAATTTTGTTGGTAGTTTATTTAGTTAGAAGTATCAATAACATTCACATAGTTAACTGATGTTTTACAGTGATCCAGTTAATTAAACATCGCAAAATTCTATTATCAATTGTGTTAACAAACATATTTTTCCTAATGTGTTTCTGACATTCCATCAGTGCGAATACAAAGCTAAAATGTACAAAAACTGTGAAAATTTTGATAACTAATATCACAGATGTTGTAATAGAAATGTTAACTGTAGATACCGATAATTCGTTATTTCCGGTCACACATTTGATCAGCGATAACGCCTGTAGCTCTTCTAGGGTTACTGTCGGTCCCAATCCCGGGTAAAGAAGAAGGATTG